ATTTAATTGTTCTAAATTATAAAATATATTTATATTTATTTGTATTAATAAAATATTTAAAGATATTTTAAACTTACGTAGTGAAGGTGCACTTTGTGGTGAAAATACCATAACGGTATCACCAATTGTTGTGGTGAAATCCAAAAATCCATAAACAGTTTGAGTAACATAGTTAATGTTATCGGAACATATCAGTTGTACTAAATAATATTTATATTTTTAATTTTATTATTTATTTAATAAAAATATATGAGAGAAATTAAATTTTATTTTATACGCAGTGTCTACAAAAATAAATATTTGATAGTAGAGAGACACAAACATAATTCGTGTTCATGGAGACTTCCTATTATACAATAACAATTACTTATAATATTTTATATAAATCAAACTTAAATTTTGGTGAGCTTGAAATGTGGAACTTTTTCAACCTTTTTGCAGTTAACTATTGTCCATCTACAGCTATCTTATTGGGATACCTATTTATCCTTTCTATAAGATACCCCATGAACATATGTAAAACATATTGAAACATGTGTATTACAATTTATAACAATATATATATGTTATGTACTTAAATTATGTATATAATTACATCTATATACTCATACAACATACTTACATTTACAATATTATTTATATGGTTTGATAAGAAAATTATATACTGTTTACTTTTGGCGGATGCTGTAAATATTTCTCTTTAAATGAATTTGATTAATAATTCTTAGCCTTAAATAACAAATTTCTTATAACAAGTATTATTAATTTATTAAATTTCTCGACTTCCTTATATTGATTTATATCATATTAAACATCTAATATCGGCAGTATATTCAACATAATATTTTTATACTCACCATTTAATATGACCAAAATTATAAAAATTCTGGAATCCATAATACATTGAAGTTTTTAGTTTACAATTTCTTTAATTTATAAAGTAAATTTACATAGCGAATGAATCTGAAATTATAAAATACTTGTTAAGTTTTCTTTAAAAATTTATATTGTAAAAATTTATGCCTTGAAAGTATCTTAGACTATGCTTATATATATATCTTGATTATGGTGTTAAAACAGATTTTTAATATAAAAATTAATTATCCTGTTATACAAAACTAAATTATCTTTTAACTAGACTTTCTAAAATATTTTATATATTTTCAAAAGCAAAGGCTGGAAACAATACTAAAAATGCAAATACGAATAATCCTCAATAACGTAGGATTGATCAGGCTCACTTGAAATAAAAGACACTCGAAACAATTACAGAAGAAATACAGAATAAGTGGATTTTCACACTCTCCGCTGTTATAAATATGATTGTTCCAATCTTTTGTTTAACGCTCAATAGTAAGAGGAAAGGGTAAAACATTTACATCTACATCTACAGTGTTACTGCTCTTCGTTACAACTTTAATGTCATCCGATCTAACAATAATAGATTAATCTAACGCTCAATAGTAAGAGGAAAGAGTAAAATATTTACATCTACATCTACAATGTCACTGCTCTTGGTTACAACTTTAAGGTCACCCGATCCAAAAATACTAGATTAATCTAACGCTCAATAGTAAGAGGAAAGGGTAAAATATTTACATCTACATCTATAATGTCACTGCTCTTCGTTGCAACTTTAAGGTCACCCGATCACCAGATTAATTAACTAAATATGGCTAAATACTAAATGGCAAAATTCTTTAAGGGATCAAGGTAATATTAAATAGGTAAAAGAAAATAAAGTGTTTTAGTGGCCTCAGTATATCGATAAGATAATGGAGCTTATTAGATAATATATATCAGTATATATTACTATATTTTATAGTAAAGATATAATTAGAAGTTAAGACTTCAAATTTATTTTTATAATTAAGTTGTAAAAAAGAAATAAATTCAGTGGGCTATCAATCGATAGCCCATTTTTATTTGATGTTCCATTATGTTATTTTTTATTTTATTTTACTTTTATTTATTTTTTTTTATTTTTATGTTTTACTTTTTATTATAAAATAGTTCCAGTGTTAGGATAAAATATAAGCTAAAGTCGCTGCAATAAATTTTTTCTTCTCCCTATCCTTCCGTCTAAAAATATGACATGTACCCTTTATGCATTGATCGCTTCAAATAATGAAAAAATGAATGAAATAAATAAAATTTTTAATTTAAATGTTTCCCATTGTCAAAATTATAATACATATGAGAAAGACCTATTCTTACTAATACATATTTTTATAAATTCGTTCTTATACATATATTATATTTAGACGATCATATTAATCATGTTTAAATACCTTTCTGACAGTGATGACCTTTGGTATATTACATAGAAAAAAAGAACTGTGTGTTTTAATCATAATTACTTAAACTAAGGCAATAAATCAAGTTGTTTATTAAATGGTAGCCCAAAAACTGTGTAGTACTCGTAAAGCAAAATTTTATAATTCAGTGCTTTGCTATCTATACACACAAGTTATTATCTTAATAACATTTTATTAACAAATAAAATTATTAAGCACATACAACGGATTAAAGAAGCTTTGAAAAACTGGTTTTAAATTTAATTTGAAATTTATAATAATTTAAAAGATTAATACCAACCCTTTATATGAATGGAGTCCAAATGCATTGTAATAATCAGTTAGCGACAAAAACCATTTTATTGATGTAGTTCAACACCACATATAAGACGAATAAAAAAGCGAGTTTAAATAAATAATAAACAATAATTCATATTTACTCGTATATTTTAAAATAATCAATATTGGTTTCGTAAATATTTGTACACTTTTCACGCAGTTATGTTGAAAATTCATTAATAAAAGTTTATCAAATTGTTTAGATGGTCAGTTGGTACTTGCGATTCCTGGTACTTGCAGTATTAAAACAAAAAAATTATTTACGAATAATTAAATACAAGAAGTATTTCTAAGACTACTGATGGTGGGTATTTGGGAATACTCGAAACAGATGTATGGTCAGCCAATCAATTTATTTCAATTAGTTAAAATAATATAAAATAAATTATTGTTGTTGTAGTTCACTACTGTTCGAAAAACCTCTTTAGATAATTTTATTGAAATAAGTCCAATATACATATCTTCATGAAAAGTTTGACATTTCATTTCGATTTCTCGATACTAACATTTGGTCAAAAATTATTAATAAAATGAAACTTTTATCTGTTACATTAGATTTTATAGAAAGTAAAACTTAAATATAAATCAAATAAATCTATTAGTTGTCATATAATTAATTACAGATATTTGAATGTACAGTTTATAACAATTAAATATAATAACTAATAAATAGTTAATTAAAGTGTATATAAAAATTTGTTTACCAATGATCTAGTTTTTGATGATGAGTATTATATGGAATATAAGTTATAATATAATATAAATTAAAATGAAAATCAGTCAAGAAGGGCAGCGCCACAACAACAAAATAGATTGCAAAACTGGTTTCAACTATTTTTTTAGTCTATAATTTGTTATTGTTCAGTGACTTTTCTTAATAAAATGGACTGTAACATTTCAATTAAATGAAAACATATTCTACAAAAATATGAGGCAGTA